TAATATTCATATTACTCTTCAATTTTAGCTAAATAATTGGTGTTCCACAGGTTTTCCTAGCTCAAATTGTGTTTACAATAACTTAAAGGATTTTAAAACTTGATGCAAGTTTTATATTTTATAAAACATACTATAACTGGAACTGGATCCATAATAAAACTACATTAAACTATTTATATGACACTGTGATATTTCTTTAATGGCTATTTAAAAAAAATACTGATTCCCCCCACAAATGAAAATGGCAAAGCATCTAGATCCTATTTGCATTTCTATAGACTGAATAATGAAGTAAAATAACAAAAGGATGGTAGTGGTTGAGGAAATCTAAAATTATTTGAAGAATTATAAATATAAGAACACTCACTCAGATGTTCTAGTCTAATTTTCTAATAATGCAAAACTCAAATTCCATTGCAAATAAATTAATAAAATAAACCAATGATTATAATTCAGATGTGGAGTTTAAATGAATCAGACCTTCATTTTAATATCTACTCCAGAATTAAAACAAATAGACTAAAACTCCTTTACAAAAAGCCTGAACGTTTCTTGAAAAAAAATTATCTTCATTATATAAAAAAATAACAGATTTACAGGATAATCCTATAGAGTTCTACTAAAAATTGGCTACAGTTTTGCACCTTTTATTGTAATATTACACACTTCTAAGAAAGTTAACAGGACTTTGTTTGAGTAAACAAAGCCAAGTTCAGGTTCTAGTATGTTCTCTAGAATTGCACCACGCAAGCAACAAAAACAATATGATTAAATATTTCCACTAGCTAGCGTATCCACTTATTATTTCATTACATTAAGACTTACATGCATTAAATTATGATAAATATTAAGCTAAAGATATACTATTCCAATCAGAGAAAACTGTAAGAAGTGGACTTTCTTAATACAACTTATTATATCCACAATTTGTACTTCTTCTATCAAAAGATACAAGATTATATATTGTATTATATTGTATTGTATTATATTATATTATATTATATTATATTATATTATATTATATTATATTATATTATATTATATTATATTATATTATTATATTATATTATATTATATTATATTATATTA